GATCAAAAGAAGAAAATCAGGAGGACAGGGAAGAAGTGGAAGAGAGAAGGACGGAGACACACAAAGAAACAAAAAACGCGGGGGAGAGGAAGAGAGGGCAGTAAGGGATACAGGCCCAGGGACACTGAGGTGGGTCACCAGAGAGGAATCGGGGGTAGAGAGGGAGGGAGGCAGAGGGGGTAAAACGCGCCCCTCCTCTGCTCCTGGGCCTTCATCCTACGGGACATCTTTCGTGTGGGTCTGGAGGGAAGGCCAGCTGTGGCTGGGGCTCCTGATGCAGGGAGACCACCCGGTAGAGGGAGCTATGTTCCTGGACCTCCCACCTCTTCTGCCTGGCCAGGCCTGGTTGGGGTCTGAGACAGCAGTCCTAGAGACAGTTAATGAAGGAGCCAGAGGCAGCTGGAGGGACTGAATCACCCAGTGTGACTAAGAGGTGGGTACTGAGTTCACCAGCAGGATCCCTCACTGGCCAGCGCCCCCAACCGCACTGCTAGGCCCTCCAGACACTGCAGCCGGAAGCCAGAAGGGATCCCGCAGACGGCGGGAAGAGAAGCCAGGCTCAAGCATTTCCCTAAAGGAGCAGGAAGGCACGCCGCCCCCCCCGCTGGCTCCCGGTCCCCCCACCCCACTCACGTTGACGATAGCCTCCTTGGTCTGTGCCATGTCTGAGATGACCCCGTCTGTGATGATGAGTAGCACCGAGTACTGGGAGCCGTCCTGCACCTCGGCTGCGTTCCTGGGGTGGGGCCGGGGCTGAGGTCTATCTGGGGGGCTCCAGGCATGTCACCCCCCACCCACAAGGGCCCTTAGCACTTTGGTGAGGACAGCTCTTTGGCTGGAGGGGAGGCTTCTTTCAAGTCAAGGGGAAGAGACACTCTCCTGTTTTCCTGAGAGGCTAGGTATGGAGACAAACGCCCTGTGAGCTGTTGGGCTAGGGGTCTAGTGACCCGGCACAAACCTGGCCACGTGGGTGACCACAGGGGCGAAGTTGGTGGGGCCATAGAGCTGCACGGTGCGCAGGCTGTGGTGGTAGGCCTCCAGGATGCCATCAATGCCGCAGCACGAGGGGTTCTCCTGGTTGCCGTTCTGGGGGCAGAGGATGGGGAGGCTAAGCCCGGGAAGGAAGGAGGGCTGGGTAGGTGGGTGGCCAATGGTCTGTAGGAGCAGGCCTGGGCTCTCCTAGATTCTTCTCTGGTAGGAGTGGGGGTCAGGAGAGGTAGCCCACAGGGCTCACCCTGAAGGGCAGCACACACTCCTGGTGAGTGGGGTCCAGCCCTGCTCCTTGCCCCACTCCCTGTATCTGCTCGGATTGGTCCCCGAGGGCCCTGGCTGCTTCCCTCAGGGAGCCTCGGGTACACCCAGCACACCCTAAAATGACTGCAGAGTCTGAGCAGCTCTAGAACGGCCAGCGGCTGGTCCATCCTCCTGTGTCCTGTGCCCAGAACGGTGCGTGGCACTCCACGGGCATGTGATGGATGTTTGCCATGAGTGATCCAGTAGCTGACTGAGTGTCCCAGCTCATGGGAGAGGGGAGAGGGGGTGGCCTGAGGAATCATCCCCACAGTGCCCCCATCTCAGCACCAACTCAGGAAGTTCCTAGAATTATCTGCAGTTTCCCATGACCAACCCAGACTTCTTTATCCTCATTTCTGGGGTCTTGGGGGTTTGTGCAGCTGTGTCTCCACTCTGCTTCCACCTGGGTCTTACCAGGAAAAGGAGGCCAGAGCCCACGGTGGGTAGCTTCAGACACAGAAGGGAGTTGTTTGTGAGCAAGGTGGGGAGTGGGTTTCCAGAGACCCTAATACAAGTCCCCCTACACCCAGCAGGTAGCCTACCTTCCTCAAAGGCTGCACCTTAAGTCCCTAAGTGGGGAAGATGGGAAGTGCCCCCACCCCAGGCTTGTCACCACCCCCATCCAGCCTGGTCAGCCCTTTCTCCAGGACCTCCTACCAGTGGGAACTCATGGGACACCCTGCCATCAGGGGGCAGCTTGGCCCCGAAGCCGAGGGCAGGGAACATCTTGTCGCTGTCATAATGCTGGATGATCTCCCCGACGGCGGTCAGCGCCAGCGCATAGGCGTTCAGCTGGTAGGGGCTCATGTAGTGCAGGGACGTGGACTGCGAGGGGTTCCCTGAAGACACAAGACATGGGGACATTTGCAGTCTGGACACTCCAAGCCACTCTGGGTTCAGAATCAGAGGAGGGAGTCCAAGCGCACTCCTAACCTTTATTAACCTTTATCCTTGACACCTTTCTCTCATAACGCACATGCCACCCTTTAGCAAATCCTGGTTGCTAAATCTTAAAAATATATCCAGAATCCCACTCACTTCTCTCCTCCTCCACGATCCCACCATCTCCTTGCCTACAGGACTGCAGTAGCCTCCTAACTGATCTCCCTGCTTCCTTCCACCCGTGTGTCTGCCATCCATACTCGGCACAAGAACCCGCACGCTCCCGTCAATCCTCAGGCAGCTGGACCACACCTCTTCTCTGCTCAAAATGCTCCAAAGAGCCCATCTCACCCAGAATTAAACCCAAAGTCCTTACAGGGGCCCACAAGGCTCCACATGATCTGACCTCTAGTTACCTCTCTCCTCATCCTCTACCATCCTCCCTATCACTCACTCGGTCCCACCTCCGGGCCTTGGCAACAGGCTGTTCCCTCTGTTCTGGGACGCTTTTCCGTAGATGTACACATGGCTTGGTCCCTTGACTCTTCAGGTTTCTACTCGTTATCGTTTCAGTATGGTCTTTCCTGAGCAGCGTACTGAAAGGTGCAGCCTCCCCCAGTATTCCCTATCCCTCTTCCTGGCTTAATTCTTCTCTATAGCCCTTATCACCACTAATGTTGTCTGTATTTTACTTATTTATTCATGAGACACAGTACAGCACAGGCTGCCAAGGTACTAATCTTGTTTCTCTACCTCCTACTAGCTGTGTGATCTTGGGAGCAAATTCCTTAATCTCTCAGCCTCAGTCTCTTCATCTGTAGAATGGAGATAATAACAGTCCCCACCTCACAGGATTGTTGTGAGGATTAAACAGGTGTCGTTATGGTAACATTGTTATTATCACTAAGGCCCCTCCCAGCTCTGACGTCCTACCACTCTGTAATGCTAGGGCCCGCAGCCCTCAGGGGTTTCTGACACACCTGTGGAGTACAAGACCCAAGCATCTTCTGATTCTCACAAAAACGAGCAGTGAGCACTGCTAATGTGGGTCTAAAATGCAAAGAACATTGTGATGTTTCTAACAGTGTAAAGTTTGGCATCGATTGCTCTTAGAGGCTAGATCACAGCCTGATACGGGGAAGGTCAGAGGAGGGAAGAAAGCTGGGTCAGCCCCAGCAAGGGAGAGAACTGGGGTTCCTGGGCTGCGTTCCTACCCTCACCGAGGACCACAGAGCTCAGTCTTGAGCGCAGTTCTCCCCTTCAGCCTGTGCGGGGTACTGCACAGAGGATGTGGAATTTGATCCTGCGAGAAGACACCTCTGCTCCAGGGCCCTTCATGGGCCCAGAGTAGCACTGTCCTGTTCTCCTGGGGAGACTGGATGTCTTCAAGGGCAAGGCTGTGGCTCAGGCTATGCAGGCTCAGAGCCCAGATTTGTTGGTAATCATGGTCTAACCTGAAGATATGTTCACCACCTTGGTTCTATCTTTGGCTCCCCAGGCCTAAGTACCTCCTCTTCAGTGAGGATGAGGCCAGAGAGCATGGGAAAACTGGCTCCCAGCTAAGGTCAACTCCCAGAGCCTGGAAAAGCCCTCCCTTTTCTTCCCACTCCTCCCCCATCCAGCTCCTCGGCCCATCCCTCCACTCACCATTGGAGGCCGTGAAATCAATGGCCACTGTGAAGTTGATCTGGGTCCTAGAAGGAGAAAAGCAGGGCAGTTACCTGGACAGCGGCAAGGCTAAGGGGACAGTGAGCAGTGCCGGGCAGGGAGTGAAAAACCCATCTTCCACCCCAGCCCTGCTGCTTGCCAGGCATGTGACCTTGATGAAGTCATTCATCGCCTTTCCACATGGAATTCTGGGATGGTAATGCGAGCCACAACCTCCCCACACCCTCCCATAGGACTGTTGTGAGCATCTCAAGAGTTAGGCAACGTGAAAGCTCTTTGAAGACGATTATGTTCTGTGTGGGCAAGTGGTTATGATTACTTATTTCCTCCTCAAACCTTATCCCTGGGCCCACCTGAGGCCAGTGAAGTGGGGTCTCACTATACTTCTGGCATAAATTTGGAGTCAGATTCAGGGCTAAACTTATTTGACAAAAAAGAGAGAGAAACAGACATTGTGCATCTCCCGAGGGAAAAATGAAACCCCACCCATGAAGCTGTCTTGCCAAAAAATTGAACCCGAATCTACTTGAACTTCCAGAGCTATCTACCAGTTGTTTCCAGGAAATACAGGGGACAGAGGAACATGTTAAATGACACCATGAGGGATGCAGCCAGTAAAAGCCAGTCTGTGGGAAGTTCTGGAGCACTACTGGAAGAATGGCCTATGAACCAGCAGTATTGGGATTACCTGGGGACTTGTGAGTGGGCCCCTGTAGACCCACTGAATCAAAAGCTCTTGGTAGGCACAGAAAGCTTTCTTAGCAAACCCTTCAGGTGTAGGAGGTGGGCGGAGGGGGGTGTGAGGAGTGGGAAATACCAATAAATGAAAAAGAATTAAGAGACAAATCAATCAACTGTAGTAAATAGATCTTGCCTAGATTTCTGCTTCAAATAAGCCAATTTAAAAACTTTATAAGACAATTAGAGAAATCCGAACACTGACTAGACAACAAGGAACTTTCAGGTTTTAGGTGTGATTATGGTATTGTGGTTATATTTAACAAAGAATTCTTATATTTTGGAGGCACATCCTGAAGTATTTAGGGGGATAAAATATGATGTCTAGGATTTGCTTCAAAATAACTACATGGAAAGGAGAGTACATAGAACAAGATGGGCCATGAGCTGGTAATGGCTGAATCTGGGTGAAGGACTTAGACGTTGATTATACCTTCTCTTCACTTTTGGATATGTTTGGGATTTTTCCATAATAAAAAGTTAGATTTTGAAAGTTCAGGTTCAGGGCTGAACTGTGCTGAGGGTTTGGCTGTTCCAGGTTCTGCACTAGATGCTGACAGAATAAAGCTGACAAGACATGAGCCCCTGAGAAAGTCTAGTCTTATGGTTCTCACACTGAGTGAGGGTAGTCACAGGGGAACTTGTTTTAAAAAAGGAGAGATCCCGGGGCCCACTCACAGGAATGTCAATCCAGTTGGTATGAGATGGGGCCCAGAATCTGCTTCTGTAAGAAACATCCCTTGTCCCCATCTGGGATTCTGAGGGGGGTCTGGGATCACACTTGGGGACACTCTGCTTTGGTGGTTCTGAGTTGGGGCCAGGGATGATATGAGACGAGGCAGGGCTCGCCTCACCTGCGTTTAGCAGATAGTCCCCATCAGAAACCACAGCCCTCTTCCCACCTGATCACAGCTGAGCTACTGCTGATGGACCCTTCATCCCCCAGGAAGAGTGTAGGACACTGTTAGCAGGAGACCCAAGCCAGGGTCTGCTGGCCAGAAACAGTTCTTCCCACACTTCTTTTCCCTTGTCTGTTGCCTGGGGGCAGAACATCCAGTGGACTCCAAGGTGAGGGAGAAGAAGCCACAGATGGCATGAGTCTAGGTCCCTGAATGACTATGTGGAGCACCTCCCCACCCATCCCTGCCACCCTATGAATAAAAAATAAACCTTATTTGTACTAAGCCTTGAGGTTGAGGGATTATTTGTTATAGCAGTTGACCTAGCCTATTCATCTGCTATTCCTTATCATCTCTCAGTGTGGAATATAGAGATTGTGTCTTTCTAGAGGAAAGGAGACATTTGGAGGATAAGAGCCCTGCTCCTGGGGCTACCCTTGGGAGGGTGGTTCTGGCCTGCAGGACTATAGCTGTGGGGAGAAGCAGGCCTTACTCCTTATGTAATATTCCCTTGCTCTGAATTCTGAAATGAAGAGAAGAAAGGACTAGAAAGTAGGTACTTTTGTAGGAAAGTTACTCCCTGCAGGCTCACCTCTCCTGCCTAAGGGCACAGCAGCGTAGAATGCAGGCTGCTGAGCAACCAGCTCCATGTCTGATGGGGTGAGAGGTGGGGCAGAGGTGCCCGTGCCTTTCCTCTTGGTCCAGGTTGGTGGGGGAGGAAGGCCGGGAAGGAGAGGATCCATAGGCAAATGTCTCCATCAACTGCCTGCCTGGACACGCATGCCAGGCTTTCGCCAACTCTTTCACTCGGGTTCTCCGGAGAGTGAGAAAATAGGCATCGGGGAGAGCTAAGGTAGCTCCAATGTTCTAACTTGCCCAGTACTCATGATGCCAGCTTTGCGTAGCAGCCTGCCTCTGAGGCTCCTTCTTGAGGAGACAACATCCCAGCACCTAGCCCTTTAACTCAGTCGTCTCTATCTGCATCCCACACCACCAGGTAGCTGGTAGTGCAGGGCCAGGAATATTCATTACCGTGAAAAAATGCAGCCTATGGTGACGGAAGGCACCCTGCCACCGGCTAGGCATGTAGACTTGGGAAAGTTATAGAAAATGAAGATCATCCTGGCCCTGCCTACTACTTTTTGTAAATTGGGGGCATTATGCAAATGAGAAAGATAAACAGGATGAGGATTGATTGAAAATTACCAGGTACTATGGAATGTAAGGGGCGGTTGCTTAATGGGATGGAGAACAGAGCAGTTCTGATGGAGGAAGGGAGCAAGGGCAGGGTTGGGAAGAGGCTCAGAGGAGGGGCAGGTAGGGGGACAGGGAGGCCTTTGGGTTGCTGCAGGGAGGGTGTGTGCTTAGTGGGTACAGGAGAGCTTGCAACCTTGAGACTACAGGTTCAAGGCAGCAGGGAGCGGTGTCATGGGAGAGTGAGCGTGGCTTCCCAGGGCCTGACTTTTCCCTCTGTCCTGGAGAACCAGGCAGCCAAGTGCCCACTTGGCTGGGATGAGCCCTTGGCAGCTGCCTTGCCTGTCTCGTTTCCAGACAGGTGTAGTCACTCACCTGCCTGCACCTGTGGGCTGTTGGCTACCCACACCCTGACCTGGCACCTGTCCTTGGCAGAATCAGACTCTCCATGAGCTATTGGCTGGAACCTCCAGGTTTCCCTACCTGTCTTGGCCTGGATGTCAACCCCTTTGGTTCTTTCTGTTCCTTAAACTCATGTTTGACCACCTGTTAGGTGGGTCCACGCCCTGGCTCATCCCCTAATCCTTCTGGTCCCTTATTAGGTCACTGATGACACCAGGGAGGTTAATTACTGGCCTCCCTCCCCAGACAGACCACAGGTATCAGAAGCTTGGAGCAGGACGGAATCTTAGAATTTACCAAACTCCAACCTCTTGTATATGGAGGAGGAAATAAAGCCCTGGGAGGGAAAGTGACCTGCCCAGAGTAATCTAGCAAATTCAGGGCAAAGAGGGGTCTAGAGTCTGGGCCTCCGGACTCCTAGTCCAGGGCTCTTTCTGCCTCTCTAAGCCCTTGGTTCTCTTTGTCATGGAGTCTCTACCCACTCTAGGTCCCATCTCTGCAGGGGACCTGATGGGACCTATTGTGACCCGTTGGCCTCCCGTGGCCCAGGAATGTCTGCTCTCTACAGCTACTCAGGATATAGGGGCATACAGGGCTCTGGGAGAGTTGTCTGAGCCCAGACACCTTGGAGTGGGGTGCTGTTCAAAGCCCGGGACCACAGACTTCAGCAAGGGACTCAAAGAGGCCAGGGTGGAGCCAGAGCTGCTCATGCCAATGTGTGAGGCCCCTCCCCTCTCCCTGAGGCTAAAGAAAAGAACCAGGGGCTGCATCTCTTCTCACCCTCCTTTGATGTAGTCGAGAAATGTGCACTCTGACTCCACAGCAAAGGAAAGCAGTGTGACCTTGAAAACAAAAGGGAGCTTGGTCAGTGGGGAACACAAAGTGGGAGGGATGGTTTGTTGATAGTTATGGAGCATGAGCATGTGCCAGTTTGCATACATTATTGTATACAGTGCCCACAACAACCTATACTATTATTATCCCCATTTTACAGCCTATGAAACTCAGGCTCAAAGAGGTGATGCAATGTGCCCGACATTGTCAGGACATGGCCAAGTGAGATGGGGACCCAGGTCTGTCTGACTCCAGAGCCTACACTCTTGACCTCAAACTGCATCCCGAGCCCTGTCTCTATCACTAGAGTACAGGGCTCAAGCCAAGGGCACGAGTTGCCTCTAAGCAGATGCCAGTGTGGAGTGTGGAGGGCAAGGGGGTCTTCCTGACACAGTCCTAAGAATCTGCCATGCTGACAAGCTCCATGCTTCCATGTCTCATTAACTATTATTCCTGAAACACGCTTCTCTGATCTGCACTATCTTAAACGTTGCTTGTCCCCTCTCATCCCTCTGGTGTCTCTTAATCTCTACCCTCTCAGACCCAAGACCCTCATAAGCAGCCTGTCCTTTCCCCAGAGGTAAATGACTACCTGGCGCTCCCTCTCCCAAGTAGGGATCTCTTGGCCTATACCTGCTGGCTGCTTTGGCATCAGCTACACCAAGACAGGCAGCTCCCTGGCAGCTCCCTGGCAGCTCATACAATGCTGATTTGGGATCATGGAGATAAGTCGAAACCAATTAAATAAGGCAAGATTGGGGCAGGGGACCTTTTACCTGTGTCAGAGAACTCTACTCTATGATTTGGGGAGCTCCCCACTGGTGTAGATTCCACCATCTTTATCGACTCACAAGGTGAGCCAGGTAGGGCCTCTACTTGACAAAGCCAATGAACCACTAAGGCCAAAATATGGGGGGAGAGGGTCTGTGAGTGCTGAGCTGAGCCTTGGAGACCCCCGCCCACTGTGGTTAGTGTTAGAAACTTGGATGGGCAAAGCCTCCTTTCACTAGGAATGGACTATGGCAGTGGCCTTTACCCTGATGATCATTAGACTCCTTGAGCTTTGAAAACATCTTGCAACCTGGGTGAGGCCCTTGAAAACCAATTTCATCAGAGTTTCTGGGGTAGGGCTCTGGCCCTCGATCTTTTTTTAGCTTCTCACATGAGTCTAACCTGCAGCTAGAGCTGAACCTTCATCCAGACCCTGGGATGAAGAAATTCTGCAACTCGCCTGACCATATGGATTCACCCAGGGACTTGCTACTCAAAGTGTGGTCCCTGGACCAGCAGAGCCAGAATCACCTTGATGCTGGTTAGAAAGGCAGACGTGCAGATTCTTGGCCTTTTAATAAGATCCTCAGGAGATTCTGCATATAGTAAGGTATGAGAAGCACTAAACACAGAGGTCTGGACCCTAGCTTGGGACCCTGGGTATCTGTATTTGACTAAGCGTCCTCGACCCTGAGTGATTTTTTTTTTTTTATGGTGAAGACCGGGAAATGCTGGAGCAAAGGAAAGTCAGGAGACTCAGGCCCAGTTCTGCTCTGTCCTTAACTCACTGGGTGACCTGAGACAAATTACATCCCCTCTCTGGGCCTGTTTCTTTACCTCTAAAGTAAGGAAGCTGGATAAGATCAGTGATTTTCAAATCTTTTTTGTTTTTTTAGCTGTATAGCTAATATTTCTCGGCTAGGGAAGGTATTGCCTCCCCTAGGGGCATTTGAAAAAATATAGGAGAATTTTGGGTCTTGCAGTGACCGCTGCTACTGGGAGTTATGAGCTGAGGCCAGGAGTGCTAAGCATCCCACAATGTACGGGGACATCCCATGGGACAAAGAATTTTCCTGCCCTAAAAGCCGACAGCATTCCCACTGAGAAACACTGCAGCTTTGGACAAAGGAAATATTACTCCAAGTGTGTCTGTGAAACAGTTACAATCAGAGAATTGGCGGGTAGCCCCCTTGAATAAGCGGAGTACTTTGCAGTTTACAGGCCTGTGTCTTCCTGCTCCTCTCATGTGTCTGTCATAGCTACTCTGTGCAGTAAGCAGGGGAGGGAGTATTTTTTAGTCCTATTTTACATATGGAGATAATGAGGTTCTTGCAGAAGAACCCCAGAGCCCCCCGACTATGACCCCTTCTGGGTCTGGAGTTGCAGTCTGCCGGACTCAAATGACTAAATTTGGCTGCATTAGCTGGCGGCACTGCGTATAGACCTCTGGAGTGGGGAGAGGCCTGAAGGGTATGAATGTGGGTACGTGTGCACTGCTGACATTGGCTTGTTCTATAAATGCACTGAGGGTTCTACCTCAGGACCTTTGCACATGCTGATCCCTACTAGAATTCTCTTTCCCCAATATCCTCAATACCTGCTCCCCTCCCACACCTTGTTTGAATCTCTGCTCAAATGTCACCTTCTCAGAGAAGCTTTCCTTGATTACTTTATATAAAATCATAGTTTTGTCCTTGGCATTCCCTATGCCTTTACCTTATTATAGTTTTGTTCCCACAGCACTCATAACCACCTAACACACACAGGCAGGTATACGTGTTTACTTACATATACTTGTTTTCTGTCTCTTCCCACTAGAATATAAGCACCAGGACAGCAGGGATTTTCATCTGTTGAATAAATGTATGACTGTCCTGAAGATCAGCCCCCTGAAGCCACTGAGCCAGTATGATCCCAGGATGGTCACAGTTAGGCAAAAGCAGTGGCCGCAGCAGCTGCCAGCTCTGAATTTAACTGTAGTGCTGACTGCTATCTCTACCACTCTCTAGCTCTGTGACCCTGGTTGAGTCACTTCCCTGCCTGCAGCCTTGGTTTCCTCTTTCATGACAAGGGGATGATGATAGCTGCCTTTCAAGGAAACAACCTGTGAAAAGTACCTAAATGGGGAATTTCCCAGAGTAGGGGCCCAATAAATGCTACACTTTTTCCTCTTCTTTCCTGCAGGAAGTCCCATGGGAGTTTCTCTCTGGGATTTCTCATTCTGCATCACAGAGCCTATATGATACACTATCTACCCGCTGGGCTGTTGCTCCATGGGCCACACCCCTCCCTTTCTCCAGCTTTTCAGGTCTGGTTCCCACACTGCATGAGCATACAGACAGACACACATGAATCCTGACACTAGACAGAGCTCGGGGCTCAGAATATCTACACCTGGCTGCAGAGAGGGGGTGGCTACTCACTGTGCCAGAATTCACGTATTTCTTTTTCTTCATTTTCTTTTTTGGGTTTACCACCTGCAGGAAAAACCAGTTACCAGGTAAGAAGGAGGTTTCCAAACAGACAGGGCTGGGCCCCTGGGGCTTCCACTAGCCCATGGGTGTGGACCCAGCCTGGCAAGCAGAGTGTGGGCTGAGAAAACTGGGGGGCCCAGGGAAGAGGGTTTAGGGAGGGCTTGTGAGAGAATGGCATTTAAATTTATACGGCTGGGTTCTCTGATTGAACCTAGTGTCCCACAGCCAAACACACCAAGAATAATATTTATTTAACCTTTCTCACTACTCTTCAAAGACACCCTCCACGATATTGCAAAGGGGCCCTGTCTGTGCCTACCCCTTGTGTGGGCTCAGGCTGCTCCCTCACCCAAAACACTCCCCCGCTCCTCCCTCTATTAGTTCCAAATCGTCATGGCTCTTCCTTTGAGATACAGCCCAAGGGCTGTCCTGAGGCCTGTGAGGCTCCTCTCTCCACCACCAATACCCTTATTCTACAGTTAGAACCTATTGAACTGTTTTTCACCTGTAAGCTTTCATTCCAAACCAGACCTGTCATCAGAGAATATACCACAGTGCTAGGCATCTAGTAGGTGCTAAAAACACTACTTGTGGACTAACTAAGTGGTCTCAACTGGAGGCGATTTTTGCCCCTCAGGCGACAATTGGCAATGTCTGCAAATATGTTTGGTTGTCACAACTAGGAGAGTAGGTAGAGGCAAGGAATGCTGCTAAACATCCCACAACACACAGGACAGCCCCTCACAACAAAGGGGCTAGTCCGAGACGTAAGCAGTACAGAGGTGGAGCACCCCTGGGCTGAGTGAGGACCACCTTGCCCTGGGAGAGCTCCACAGATCTTACACACACACACACACACACACACACACACACACACTCTCTCTCTCTCTCTCTCTCTCTCTCTCTGCATTTGTACTCCAATCTGAGCCTTACCAGCAATTTGGTTTTTTACTCAGGACACCTAGGGCCAACCTCTCCCTAACCTGCCATCAAACGAAGCAAGGGGATTTTCACATCCGCTCTGGTTCTGTTGCTCTGTCCTCCATAGCTTTCTGGTGAACTCATTTTCCTCCCCCTCATCTCCTGTTTTTCCCTCAGGGGCAGCCAGCTGGTCTTTAGCAGAAGTCTCGTCTGTTTGAATGACTATTGCTAACCATCTCTGGAGATAAGACAACCAAGGCACAGAGACACCAAATAATTTGCCTATGGTCATACAGCTGTTCAGGGTAGTGACAGAATTAGAAACCAGGTTCCTGCCTTCAGGGCAGTGTTTTGTACAGGGGTGCCACCTTGAAAACAAACACAAACATGTTCCGTCACAAATATTTATGGAGCGGGGGTTCTTCTCTAGAATCTTCACTTCAGTTAGAGGATAAAGATAGGTGACCTCGGGATAGGTGACAAAGGCCACAAAGAAAGGGGAGTCAGAAACATGAAGGGAGCTGGAAGAACAAAGGACCACTCCAGGTGGGAGCCTCAAAGGAGGCTCCCGGAGCAGGTGGTATTGAAGGCAGACGGTGAGTGACAGGAAGGTGTTCAGCATGGAGAGATGGAGGGAAGCATTCCAGTCAGAGGAGATATTGGTGTGGAGAGCACAAATTGGGGGTCCAGTTTAACTGCAGAACCACAGGGTGGAAGAGAGTAAATTGGGCTGGCTGGACGACTGCTTAAAACACCAATTTAAATGTTTGAACATGTTTGAAATGTTAACCCAGCAGCCAGCAGGGAACTCTGATTACCTCTAAGCTGGAAAGGGACAAGATCATGGTAGGCTCTTAGATGCTGAGATCTAGTAGAAGTGAATATGAGGAGAGAAAGAGGGATATCCAGGAAGATGTTTGCCTGGTTCTGCCACCTCATAGCTGTGTGATCTTAGGCAAGTTACTTAACCTCCCTGTGCCTTACTTTCCTCATCTGTAAAATGAGAGTAAAAAGTACCCACCTTAGAAAGGATTAGGGATTAAACAGGTCAATACAAGTCAAGTGCTTAGGACAGGGTCTAGAAGGTAGTAAGTATTATATAAGTGTCACGGCTATTATTTTTTATTACTACCACTTACTACCACCACCACCAGTCCAGGTAAGAGATAATGAGGGCTTGGGGGATGCTAGAACAGGTACTAAGCTATGGCAAAACAGCATTATCAAGAAGTGACCACAGATCTTGGGCCCTGGGCATGGCTGTGTGGGTAGGAGAGAGGGAGGGGTCAGGGGCAACCAGGCAGACACAGAAGGAAGAAGAGCTGGATTTGGGGCACAGTTGAAAAGTTCAGGTGGGAGGGCTAGCAAGCTGTGCAGGTGGAGAGTCTGGGGAGAGAAGCCTAGAACGACCTCGATCCTCCACAGGCAAGAAGGCCACTCAGATGACACGGTGCTCACAGACACAGTCACGGGAAAACAACCTACTAGGCAAGTTGTTGAGAGAGGGCACAGCCTCAGCTCCGAGGTTGCACTGTGCCTCCGTTTCCCAATCTGTCCCAGGAGGGTGTAGAACTCTTAGAATGAGAGCTTCTCAAACTTTTACAAAGTAGCCCTTCCATCAGAGGAGAATAAATATGGACTCCTGGGGGTCTGGGCGTCACCCAAAGACCTGGCCACAAGTACATTTCTTTGAAGTCTTCTGTGTTGTCTTTAAATTAGCCCATATTCTACATTTCCACTCTCTAATTATAACTGTTTTAATATTAAAGCAATGTTTTGTTCTCAGATCTTCATGTGAAGTGGCACTGAAAAGACGCCCTGTTCATCCTGAGGTTTCATGCACTCTGCAGCACACATCCCCACCCCAACGCACCAGCCTCTCTGGCCTTAAGGAGGCTGCTCCCTGAAGTTCCACGTGTGGGACCAGCGCCCCCTAGGGGTCAGGCCAGGAAACTCCCTGGGTTGGAGTTCTAAGCCTACTCCTCTCCCTGTCCTCACACCCTCAGGGTCCCCAGGGCCCTCAAGGCAGGCCTGGTGTCTGCCTTCCTGTGCAAAGGGAAACTGAGTGGCTCCCAGGGGCCAGGAGCTGCTCTGGCTTTGGGGATACAACGGTGAGAGAGATACTCCCCAACCCAGTGGCAGCACCAGTGTGAATGAAGCCACAGAGGCTGAGCCAGCATGCAGGTTCAGAGAGGCTCAAACAGCGTGACTGAGCTGAAAGTGGGGTGGGCAGAGGGAAGGGCCAGGGTCAGACCCAGAGGCCTCTTGGGCGTGTGACATGTGGTCTACTTACACACGCCCATCAGTTTCACACAGATTGCAGGTTGCTGGGACATGGCACCCATGTTAAGGAGCTCAGACTTTACCCTGTAGGTAAAGGTCCCTGTAGGATCTCAGCTGGAGTGGGGTTTCTTTCTGAATCTCCTCCACCCTCTTCTGTGCAAACCGGGTAGACACAGAGGTTGTGGGTGGGATGCACAACTAGGTTTGAATCTGGGCAGCGTTGTGGTCAGGTGACCATTTTGGAGGAGCACTCCGGTTACTGAGCGAAGGACACAAGGAGGTGGGAAGGTCATTAGGTGGCTGTTGCAAAGTCCCCACACAGGGGAGATGACAGTAGGGGTGGACGGGAGTGAAGGGAACAAAAGTCAGGATATTCAGGTAGAAGTAGGAGTAGGGTGCAGTTGTGGATGGTGAGGGGCCACAAGTGTCAAGGATGGCTGCCCTGCTGTGGCCCTCATGATGGAAGGAGGGAGCAAAAGGCTGCAGAGAGACTCTCATCAGTGCATTCAGTTTGGGAAGGCCGTATCTGAGGAGAGGCCAGACGAGAGCTGGACATACAAGTCAGACACCCAGGGTGATGACAGGGCCTGAGATGAGGGTCTTTCCTAGCAGAAAGACCCTTCAGGCAGTTGATTCTAGAAAGGCCTTCCAGAGCCCAAACCGACCCCCCAGTGAAGCCCCACACAGTCAAGGCCTGCCCCAAAGCTGCCAAAGTTTAATTCCTTCTCTACCTGATGGCATTTCGATGTGTGAAGCCAGCACTGCTGCTTTCCAGCACTGCAGTTTCTCTTGTCGATTGCAAGGGAGCAGGGATCCACAACGAAGAACACAAGCCAATCCACCCTTTTCTGCTTTTAGCCTGAGAGATCATGGCCTCTTTTGAGTCTGTCAAGCACCCTTAGAAGCCAAACTCAAAGAGATCTGACTCCTTCCCTTCACTTCCCTAAAATTCTCCTTAAGGGGCCAAAGACAGAGCCTGTTTCTCTCTGTCTGGGCGGGGAGATGAAGACAGCCCTTCTTTTTGTGGATGAAGAAAACAAAGCAATTAACTGTGAGGATCAGAGCCCTTTCAAAAAAAAAAAAAATTCACTCATGCTCCATCTTCGCAATAGTCTTATTCACCTGGATTCAGTATGTGGATGTCTAACAAGCACCTACTCTGTGCCCAGCACTGCCCAGATCAACATGAAGGGAGGAACCAAGAGTGCTGTCACCTGCCCTTGGGGAGCTTCAATTTAGTTGGAACACAAGACCTGCCTACTCAGAATGGAGAAATAGGGTGAGGGAGTGGAAGTACGGAGATTTTCAGATTTGGTGATGGGAGTCAAAGCCAGCTCTTCAATTTCACCAGCTGAGTGGCTGGCTGCTAATGTGAAGAAAGAGCCAGTTTGTAGGATGGCTGTGAAATATCTCCAGGCACACAGGAGCTCAACAGATGATACTAGAAGACAGTTGATACCATGGTCCCTCGGGGGCAGGCATTATTCTAGCTACTTATTTAATTCTCCATGTGCATGGCAGTGTGGTTCGGGAACTCAGCCAAGGGCACATGGCTAGTAGGTGGCAGAGTCAGGCTATGCACTGAGAAGTTTTTAGGGTTTTACATAGATGCAGTTTAGTAGGCCTGGGACAAACTGTGCTGTCCATGGAGTTCAGAAGAGGGAGAAAGCACGGGAGGCTGTGTGGCTGAGAAGGCTGGTACTGGAGTAGAAGCTGAGCCAGATTTGGAAGGTGGGCGGGTACCCGAGGAGTGAGAGCGAACACAAGCAAAGGCTCAGCGGCAGAAAGTGTCCTTTGAGGGCAAACGCTATTATCTCCAGAGAGACTGGGTGCTTTGTCCAGGTCTAGATAAGAAGTATCCTGACTCCTATTCCTCTGTCTCTCCTTTCAGAAAAGGTAAGATATTCAGCAGGCCCCGAAACTGTTCTAATTGAAGGCAAGGGACCACCTTGAACTCAGAATCTCTGGACTCATGCCCGGAACCCTCTGATATTGACCCCCACCTTCTGCCCCACCCCCACTTTTATCCTCTCACCTTGCTGGAAGTACTTTTTCGGGAGTGGGGGGGCAGGCACTATATCTCAGTGATGGGAGTCATATTAGCCTAGGTAGTTTGCCTTTTATTTCTGCCACTTACTGAACCATGTGTCTTTGGGCAAGTCTCCTAACTTCTCTGAAACTCGGTCTCCTTAATTGTACAAGGGGACAATAACACCCACCTCACAGGAGAACGTGCAAAAACTCTAGCCCTGGATATGGCTCATCATAGTCCTCAATGACTGGGAGCTACATATCATCAAAACGAACCCCAGACTTTGAGTGTCCGCCTCACCTCATAGATGTTGAATTGGCTCTGCCCGCGGGCCAGCTCCCGGTAGCTGGTGGTGAACTCCCCAATGAAGTCATGGCTGCAAGGAAAGGCTGTTGCTGAGACCACAGGCCCAGGCTCTGCCTCTGCCCATCCCCCCACATCACGTCCCTTTCCCTGGCTCCCAATTCTGCCCAGGCCTCTGCTCCACGGGCATACGCCAGTGGAAAGGCTGGGTCTCTGGAAGTCCAGTGTCGCCTGTGGAGCAAGAACCCAACAACGGTCACGTAGCAAAGAGCAGGACCCTGCAGAATGGGACACATTTCTACTTGTATTCTTATTTGAAAATAAAAACAACAAAAGATATTTTGGAGATGACTGGGAAAATTCAAATATGAAACAAATATTAGATGATATTCAAGAATTATTGTTCGATGTATGAGGTGTGATAACAACATTCACAGTTATGTAGAAAATGCTATTAGTTTTTAGACGTTCCCAGCGAGGTATTTAGATAAAAATGCCACGATGTCTATAATTTAAACCACAACAAAACATAGATAAAGCAAACATGACAACATGTAACACTTGTTAAAATCGGGTGATAGGTTTAAAAGTGTTCATTAAGTACTTCTCTTTACTTTTCTGTGTACTTGACATTTTTCCAATAATGTTTTTTTGAAAAGACAATTAGTGCTATGTCCATCCAGGCAGCTGGAGGTATTTTCTACAGTGTCTGCACTGTACGCTTCTGGGGCTCTGTGTGTATTTATGTTAAGTGCAGCAAAACCTTATACAAAGCAGAATTCCCATCTTCCCTGTGGTTGGCAGCCTTTGAACATCATGTGCTGGCCTGGAGTGCCTATTGGGGTGGTGCCCAGGAGGTGTCCTTGGGGCCTTGCCTGGCCTTAAGCCCACACTGTATTTTGACTACATATTTAAAGCTCTCAGCATGCAGACTATGAGCTCCTTGATGGCAGGAACCAAAGGCATTTGGTGGCTGTCCCCAGCTTTCCCCACTAAGAGAAGCATGGGGAAATCCAGGGTAAGATGAGGCAAACCATGGGCGGAAACATGAAGCAGACCTGCATGCAATGTGGTTAAAAAGGAAGGAAGAGAGGGACAAAGCGAGCTAAGGGAGGCAGTGTTGGCACTGGCAGTTCTCTGAGACAGCGGAGGTCCCCAACCCCCAGGCTGGGGACTGGTACCACACAGCAGGCGAGCAAGAGAAGCTTCATCTGTATTTGCAGCCGCTCCCCAGCACTAGCATCACCGCCTCAGCTCTACCTCAGATCATCAGGCATTAGATTGTTATAAAAGCACCAGTGCCTGGTGCCAAAAAAGGTTGGGGACAGCTGTTCTACAGCAAGGTATCGGGGGAAGGCAAGCTCCTTGAAAGAGGCTTAGGCTTAATTTAGAACTGTGTTTGCACGACCCTTTACAATATCCTCTGTCCACATCGCAGACTTGAAAGGTACCAACGGAGATCATGGGATGTAAAGCCCCTTGACAACACCGCCTGATAGTGCCAGAGAATGGCGGGGTCATAAAAGTCAGGATGACATATTTGGATTTAGTTCAACACACAAGTAGGACCCAGAGAGAGGCCTGTTCTTGTCCTCTTCTATGAATTCCCAGCAACGCTGGCTCCCTGGGGGCACTTAGATGCACAGGAGGAGAAAGCACTGACCTCCCAAACACCCTGAGTAGGAACCGCCCTCCCGCCGGCCAGGCTCGGCCCTACTCACACACTGCCTCGTGGCTCCTGAGTCCATCTGTGTGCATCAAATCTTCCCCTTCCCATTGCCCACTTCCTCAGGCCATACCCGCTGCAAACAGCTGCTCTGATGAGCCGAGGGCCTCCCTACTACATGGTGGGGAGTCTCAGGGCTGAGCTCATCTTCTGCACCCTGGTCACCCCACACGGCTTAGCCTGACACAGAGAATGTGTCCATGAATGCTCAGAGTATCACTACTATATATCTCTTAGAACATGCACATTTCAGAAAATCCTAAATCTTCCCAAATGTGGGAAGATTTTAGGCACTGGCTAGCAGCTAAGCAGCTAAGGACAAGAGGCTTCTTATGCCCTTTGCATTATGTCCAGAGATCATCTGGTGCCTCTGTGGAACTGGGTAGAGACAAGTCACCGGGGCAATGGATGTCCCATAGGGAAATCCAGGCCTTCTCACCCCCAGAGCTGCCATGAGTTAGGCCTTGGGCACAGCTCTCCCCACGTGTGGGCAGGGCCCGACCTCTCCACAGTGGCTGCCCCCATCCCCACTCACCTTCTGCCCTTCTGCCTGCTTACCTGCCATCTCGATCCCAGTCGTACACCTCCACTTTGATGGTCCTGTAAGGCAAAGGGCCCATGGTGGGATAGGCTTGACTCAGCACCCACGTGGCCTGAAGATGGGGCTCTTGTCATGCTCCTGGGCCAGAAGAGGATGTGGGGACACCCACCAGAAGGATGGGACCCCTCTCATGCTCCAGGGCCCGTGGTGAGAGGCAGCAGCCCAAGACACAAAGGAACTATCTTTTAGCAAGGCTCTTAGGGACAGTGGCAGCCCCAGAGCTGTGTAGGGACTTCCCTGAATTCCAGGGAGGATGTGGAAAAACAGTCTGAGACTTCAATTCATCCTGCCTTCTCACTGACCACCCCAGATGGCGCACAGGTCCAAGCATGAAGCCATACTATGAATTTGTCAGGGTTAGGGCCATTGTAGTGGGAGTGTGCTGCTCCCGGATCACAAGCCTAAGCAGGTGGGCCCTCTGGAGGAGGGGTAACGAGACTGTGTAGTGGAATTCCAGGGTCCAAGGAGTCTGAGTGGTGGTGAGCCAGCCCTGCATGTCAGGGATGGGCCCAAGGGCCCTGACTCAGGGATGGCCTGCAGAGCTGGTCCATGCCATGACTGGCTCCTGAGTGAGGGTGTAATTATCTTCACATTTTAGCCTGGCTGCTTTAATTAGTTTGTTTTGACTCCTGTGCATGGGGTTGGGCTCTGGGAGCTCATTTTATTTTTAGCCCGTTTCCATGGCAACAGACTAGCAGACCAGAGGCTGGAAGAGGGAGGTGGAAGGCTGCAGGTTAACCCTTGGTGTCAGTGGTCCTCCAGGGATGCCCAAGGTCAGGGAGCTCCCAGGGTTCCACTGCAGGGTCCCCCAGGCTCTGGGGAGGTGGGAGCCAGAGTGGGGAGCTGGAGTCTCTATCCCTCAGTTCTAAGTGGGGCACGCAGAGGCAGCTGCCTGGGCCCGTCTTCCATTAACATATCATCTTGTCCATGGCTGCAGCTCATCTCCTCAGACCTCCAAGGAGTCAGACTTGGGGCCCTGGAGCTCCCAGAAGGAGGCGCTGTCTCCCTTCAGATGAGCCTCCATGGAGCATGGATGGGGGTGGGGTGTGGATTCGCCAGCATCAGGGCAGAAACTGTTCTGGAATGAAGGAATGCCCAGTAGGTTGTGCGCCAGCTGGATTTTTGTTATTAAAATGTAAAATAGGGCAAGCATAGAAGCCTACCATTTAAAGAAAACCTTTAAATTCTTGTGAAAAGGAAAAAACAGTGTCTCTCTGAGGTGAATTATCGTGGAAAGAAAAAAAAAAAAAATCTAGGCCCCTGAAGGTGGTTTGGTGAGCTGGAAAGAGGCTGGAGTGTGGACTTGGATGCTGGGCCCCTAACTGTGGGACCTAGAGATGTTACTTAGGCTCCCTGAGCCACAAGCCAGTGTTTTAAGGTAGGGATAATAATGGTCTTACATAATAGCTACAAAGACATATCTGTAAAACCTGCCTGTCACGTAGAAGTGGGTCTCTATTAAAGTGCCCCCTTTTATCCACTTTAGCATTCGGCCACACTCAGACAGTTTTTCATATAAAATTTACTTAAATCAGGGATATCCCAGTCTGGGTACACAAGCTCTGCAACTTTCAATTCCTGGAATGACAAGGCTAGAGGTGACCTTAGTGGCATCCAAGACTGGCAGTGTGACAGATCACCAGGGAGCTTTTCAGACACACAGACCCCCATGCTCAGTTCTTAGCAGCTCTGGGCAGGGCCCAGGAATCTGGTTCAAAGGTGTCCCAAGTGGTGTGTATGTTCTGGAGTGATGACCTCCAGACCCCTCATTTTCAGATGGGGAAACTGAGCCCTAAGGGTACCTAGTGACTTGCCCAGAGTCACACAGCTACTGAGGGTCTGAGCCAGGACTCTGCCCAACAATGCTGAAGTTTCACTGTCCTTTCCCAGAGCCCTTCAGCTCTGTGGGAGACCTTCAGGGACCCCAGCAAGGAGTGCCCCTCCACGGACCAACAACACCAGCCCCTAGGTCATCTAGATCCATGAGAGCCACACGCTTAGAGGCTGTAGGAGCACTCCTGTCACAGCCACAGCCTTGGATACCCAAAAAATTATTGGGGAGATTTTTTTTAACAATCCTATGGCCAGTGGGCCTCATTTAATTTGTCTGGGTAGGACCTGGGCACAGGTAGTTTAAAAAAATCCCTTGGCTGATTCTAATGTGCAGCCACTGCCACCGAGCTCTCTGGACAAGAGCACTGGCTTTCAACCTTGGTTGCACATTGGATCCCCTGGGGGGCTCTAGCAATCCTGATGCCGATGCCTCACCCCAGAGATTCAGAACTGATGGGCCTGGGGCACACCTGGGCAGAAGAATTATTTACAGCTCTTCAGAGGATTTGACCTTGTAGCTGAAGTCAAGACCACTGAGTGTGAGATTCCTGTGCAATCAAGGTTCCAGGGATAGCTGCAGCCTGGGGGTCTGATTAGTTAGAAGGCTGCAAACTCCAGCCTTGAGGGAGAAGGAGGTGAGGAAAATGTTGCCCAGAGACAGGGGAAGGCAGCGGCAGAAGCCAGACATAGTTTTGACTACTATGTTGACGGTTCTGTTGCTGTCCAGGCCTGGCAGCTGCCCAAGGTCACCTCATGTGGCCCCTGTGAGCTGCAGACCTTGTCTCTCAACCTCTTATCACAGGCCCAACAAAGGCTCATGTTGGACCAACTGTGACTTCTGGGGACAGCACCCAGGAGAAAGGGCTCCTGGGTGTGAGACAATGAAATGGGCCTCTGCTGCCCACAAAATGAACATCTTATTTGGCATAAAAAGCCTCAAGACGTGGAGCCCCTAGTCTGAGAGTCAGTGAGGTGGACAGGGAAGGCTGCAGGCTCTCGGACAGGCAGCCCTGGGTGGCAACTCCAGCTCTCCAGCTACTAGCTGTGTGGCCCTGCGCAACTGGCTTGGCCATGGGAGACTCCGTAAAATGGCATCATCACACTCACTTGGCAGCTGCTGTGAGAAATCTACATCATCCACACAGTCAGCATTGAACACATGTTCTGTTCCATCTAAAACACTCAAGCCTTTTCTCCAAGTTCCTATCTCCCAAACTCTCATTCACCATGGAAATATCAGCTCCATGAGGCCAGAGATTTTTGTCAGCTTTGAGAGCAGCGTCTAGCATATATTAGGTACTGTAAACAGTATTATTAAATGTCTGCTGGCTAAGATCTCCTATCAGCTTTGTGAAGTGGGCCACATAGTATCAACCCCCTCCTTCTCCAGAACCACAAAGGGAAGTCCAGAGTGTGTGGCTTTCCCCAAGTCACACAGCTGGTCAGTAGCAACTCCAAGCCTGGGGCTGTGGGAGCCAGTGTCCTGTAAGTCTCTGGACTCCTGGGGCCGGAGTGACAGAGTTGGGCATGTGTGAGCCTCAGGAGGCCAGCAGGGATGAAAGACGCTGGCAAAGATGCTAGGCTTCCCTCCCAGCACACCACGCAGCTCTACCCATAGTCTCCACCGAGCAGGCCTGCCTCCTAATGAACCTCTCCTGGGCAGGAGGAAGTGCATTTCACTGCTGCTTTTAAGTCCCCAAGACTGACAGGCCCTGAGGGGTCTGCCCTAAACTGACAGTCAGTCCAACACTCCCAGAGGCTTCTGGAAGGAAGAGGAGCATTGGGCATGACTGGGGCAGGCGGCAAGACTGGATGGTGGTCCTAGTGACTTCATCTCCCTGCTCTGAGCTCAGTTTCTGCAGGTGTGAGCTGGGGATGGTAAGAAACTCCTAATGGAGGTCATGCGTACTGGCCTGACACCTCCTGGTGCTCAGCAAGTAGCGGGGTTCAAAGGAGAAGCAACTGGTTCATCCAGGGAGCAGAGAGAAGTGTACGTTTTGGAGATGTGAGAGGCTCCAACTCCCGGAACCCTCTGCCCTCTTTTGGTGAAGACTCAGCACCCTTAACACCCTCTTAAAATCCACTCATTCAACATCAAGGTGTGAGTGAGTGACAGCAGCCACTCAAAGTAATCTGGTACAATGGGAACAAATCCTCAAGTGACAGAATGGTCCAGGAGAGAATAGGAGGACTTCAAGGGAGGCAGGGGAAGTGCTTCTTGTTATCAGCCCACTTTGCCTCCCTGGAGGGCTGGACTATTTCTGACTCTGACTCCGGCTCTGCTCAGCTAGGTCACTTGGGTTTGGCCTCATGTGGACTGGAGACACAGCAAATGCAGGGGAACCCCAAACCAGAGGGCCAGCCCAGAGGTGATTTCTAGAAAGGAGAAATGAAACTTCTCCTTGCACCTAATTTTACGTAAGCTCTGGTCCTCCGTGACCCATTTGTGAAATGGGTGTGTCGCCGATAACCACCTTCAAGGGTCACTGTGAAATTTAAATTCACAAAATAAGATAATGTATTTAAACAATCAGGACACAATTTGGCCCGTAACCTAAAGACTCAGTAATCTGATTAATATTAATGGGTTTCCACCCCCTCATTCTAAGAAAACTGCCCCTTTTCAATGGGTCTCTGGTTCTCATCTTCCTGGCCCTCTTTTTCACAATAGTAGTTGATTCTTCTGCTTGAATTCCCCTCTCCGCTCCCTGACCACAGCTGCCCTCCTCTTGGTCTCCTCCTGTCTCTCTAACCATCTCCTGTTCTTTCTCTTGCTCCTGACCTTTTCCCGCCAGGGCCTCGGACACCTGACTTCTGCCAGTCCCCTCCTGGGGACAACTAGACGTCTGTCCTCCTCTCTCCTTAGTAGAGCACCATTGTGCCTGTCCCACAGCCACCCACTCTGGCTCCTTGTCACGCTTCCCGTTTCTGTCGGTGGTACCACCTTCTCTCGTCCCCTAAGCTCCAAACCCTAATGATCCCTCCGTCTCTTTCACTCCCACATCCAGGCAGATGTCAAGGCCTCTGGAGTCTTCCTTCCACCTCCAGCGCCACAGCAGACTTGCCTCATACCCCTGAGCAAGGCCCTCACAGAGCCCCACCTCCAAACACCCCCCTCGCACCCCGTCTCTGTTATTCGGCAGCAGAAAGTTGGGATTAAAACACAGATTTGAGAGCCAGCCTGCCTGGGTCCAAATCCTAACTCTACCATTGGCTGGCAGTAAGACAATAGGTGAGTTATTTCACTTCTCTGGGCCTCAGTTTCCTTACCTGAAAGTATGGATAGTGTTAGTACCTTTTTCAGAGGAGGTATTAATTGTTGGGAGGATTAAATTCGTTCATATATACAACTCACCATGGAGGCGCTACAGGAGCCTTTGCTATTATTATTATTGCCCGTCTGGGAGCAACTTAAGAGGGAGGCTTGGGTCTGACAGCTCGGCATGCCCACGGCACCCAATACAGTGCCCAGAGCCTGGCTGGCATGGCATGGGAGATATGGCTGCTGAATTCAACCGAATACGTTCTGTGAGGCTTTAGGAGGTGCCTCCCTCCTTTCCCTGCACAGGCCCTTCCCCCATCTGACCCCCACCCTGAGAGGGCTTCCAGACGCCTGCACCTCCCCAGTGGCTGTTAGGTCTGTGGATTAACCTATGGCTCAGCATGGCAGGCCTGCTTACTTTTACCAAGCCAGTGTGACATGCCTAGCCCCCTCCATTAATACTGCTGTCAGTCATGTCACAGTCAATCTCTTCCTGGCTGTGGAGAAGGGCCTGAGCTGCCCAACCATCCTGAAAGGAGCCCAGTCTGGGGCTCAGCCTGGGAGGGAGAAATGCCCTGCCTGGGCTTTCCCCAAGACCTGCACCCTCACCTCCTGCAATGGCTGAAGAGTGAACCCAGGCCTCTGAGTCTGGCTGCCTTCCTCACCATCCCTAATAAAGCTGAATTCTGAGACCCTGGGAAACCCCACTACAGAAATGCAGGGTTGTGAAGCATCAGCTAAATCCTCAACAGCCTCTGGTCAGTGGGGCTGAAGATCCCAATTCCTTCTACCGCATAAGACTTGAACTGCCATGCTCTCCATTCTCCAACCTTGAATTTTCCCCTCTATCTCTCTCTATCCCAACCATTCTTCCCACGCCCCTAGCCCCAGGAACTGAACCCTCCCCATGACCTTGCAGCCTTCCTTGGTCTTCCTTTAGACCCTACTGCCCTCCCATTCCCCTAATTCCAGAACCCAAGGACCCAGCCAGACACTGTCTCCAGTCTCATTTTGCACAATTACTTAGCTATCTGGTACATGTGTGCAAATCTGAGTTCCCTACAGTCAGACTATAAGCTCCCTGAAGATAAAAATGAAGCTCCATTCCTTTGAGTGCTGCACAGCTGGAGGCACAGTGATGAGCACATAGTAGGTGCTCAGTGACCACCTGTGGAATAGAGTGTGGCTTTTCTATCCCAGCCAAGAGGCAGGAAAAGGTGCCATCTCATCTGGATCAGCAGCCTAAAATGGAGGAAGACAGTGATGCCTGGAGGCCATTCATTAATCTGCTCATTTCTGCCCCCCTCATCCCACCACACATACCCTGTCCGTAACTCCTGTGAGCAGGGCCCCAGGGAGCCCGTGCCAATGCTACCAGCCAGGACATCCCAATGTTCCTGTTGGAGTGGCCAGCAGAGGCCCAGCTTCCTCAAGGCTGCCAGACAGCCTTGCCTGTCAACCCTGCCAGCTCGCCCGCCAGCTATAACAATCACCAGGAAACCAGGCTGGATTCCCATGACTTAACACAGACCGGTACTACCTTACAGCTCCCATCTTAGCCCCCACGCCCCCGGTACTTACCACAGTTTGTAATTATGTGTTTCTTTATATCATTATTAGATTAATGTCTGCCTTCCCCACTAGCTGTAAATTCTACAAACTTGGGTGAAGGATGAGGACTGTGTTTTGTTTTCTGCTGACTTCTCAGCAACTAGAGCAGTGCATGGCACATGGTAGGGAGGAAATAAACATTTGCGGATAAAATATTGAATTTGATATTTTGTGTACACCAAAGCCTTCTTGTGTAGGTTGTGTCACGTGAGTTTCAAAGTAGCCCTATTAGGTAGGTAGGTGTTTAAATACCCACTTTACAATAAGGAAATTGAGTCTCAGACAGGTCAAAGTTTGCCCAGAATTGACAGTACTTTTCAGTCACACAGAGCCAATTAGAAACCAACACTCAACAATCTACACTCATGAGATGATGATGATAGCTAACACGTAATAAGAGTAGGCTATGTCACATCAAAAAGTTCCATGAGTTCTATGTTTTCTACCCTTCACCCCCAGTTTTGGCAACTTGGCTGGCAGAGTTGATCCTGACTCCCCAGAGTCTATTGGCCAGGAGTTGGGGCTGGTGGGGATCAGGCCACCTCTGCATATGATATCTAGAGCCTATCGTCCAGCCCCCACCTGCCCTTCCAGTGGGAACAATAAAAAGACAGGCTGCTGAGCTCCTGGCCAGGACATCACAACACCCATTGGGCTTCCCTGGAATCCCAGGCACCACCCACCCCTCCCCCGACCCAGCCTGGGAAGGTTCCCACCAATGGGGATGCTGGATTGGGAGGAAAGGGGCGGGGCAGGGCGTGGGCTGTGAGAAGGTGAAGGTAGTCACTGCCCAGGGAGGGAAGGGGAGGGCTGTGGAGGCTCACCAGTCCCACTCTGTGTGGGGACACTCACACACAGCCCCAGAAGGCTCTGCTCACATTGAGGGGACTGCCCACATGGTCGTGGACACCTGTGCTGGGGCGGGGCGGGGGGCGTTATCTCAGCTCACCGATCATAGTCCCCATTGCAGAGGGCTCTCACAGGAATGGAGAAAGTTTGCCAGACTGGGTTTAGGGTGTTTTTCATAACCTCGGTCTTGTGGCAAATGGTGAACCTGGTGAAGAAGAGAGGGAAGGTGTCAGGCCCCAACCCAAGGCAGGCAAAATCCAGGTCAACAAAGGGGCCCGCCATGTTAATCTCTGCAGATGCCAGACAGTAGAAACCATGGCTTCATGAAGTAATGAGCTGCCTGTCACTAGCAGCATCCAGGCAGAAACTAGATGGCCATTTCCTGGTGATGCTGCAGAGAAGACTTCTGCATGGATGGTGGTAGGGGTGGTGATGTCAGGAGATTCCAGTTCTGGGTCCTGCTCTCTGTGTGGCCCACCCCACTTTGGGCCTCTGTTTCCTCACCTATAAACCCAGGGGTTTGGCCACTATCAGATATTCTTCATCTGAGATCCAAGGATATGTGGATGGATGGGCTTTAATGGTCTGTAAATCCCTGAAACTGTCAGTGAAATTGGGTGCTTGCCGTTCCCTTTCTCGTAGCACTCTCTCTCCAGATTCCATGTTCATGGCTCACCTCCTCACTTCCTTCAGGTCTTTCCTCAAATGTCATCTCTCTGACATGAGTACCTGCCCTGAGTGCCATATCTAAAATTTACAACCCTCTGGCTCCCTGACTCTGACATCACTAGTCCCCTTCCATACTGTTTTTTCTATTTCACCTGTCACCGTTTGACATTTGACATAGTCTATTTTTCTTCTTATTTTCTTTACGGTCTGTCACTAGAACGTTAAGTTCTCCAAGGGCAAGGGTTTTGTCTTCTTTGATCACTGATACATCTCTAGTAGCCAAAACAATGCCTGGCATTTAGTAAATGTTCACTAAATGCTTTTTTGGAATTAATAAATAACTGTATTTCTCAGAGGAGAGTTTCCATAGCTTTCCCTGGCATTTCAAGCCAGAGAATGAAAGCCCCTGGCTGACGTGATCTCTGAGATGCTTTCAGCTCTTCCAGTCTGGATCCAGGAGCTTGCTTTATAAACTGAAAGTACAGAATTGGCTTATTCCAGCTGGGCCCCCATCCAGTGTCCCTTCCCACTCCCTGTACCATGCCTGGCTGGCCTCATCTTGGAAACCTGCTCTGCAACATAGAGGGGCAGCTGGGAGCCAGAGTGGAGCTGGGGCCAGGGGCTGCCCCCCAAGATTTCCCAGCATCCACCCCAGCTATGTCCCAGCTTGGAAAGGTCACCCAGGAAGGTACCTGGGCTCCACCCATGCCCACACAGCCTGTGCCATTTCTTCTCCGGCAATTTTCAAGTCAAAATGTCATTTCTGTCACCAAGGCTCAGCGTTTCTCTTCTCTGCTCCTTCTCGCCCACCCACTGGAGTGTAGATGCATGTGGGAGACCTCCCCACACACCCAGAGCTGGTGATCATGACGGGAATGGGACTGAGAAAGGAGGGACCACAGCTGCCCATGGCCAGGGCAGGCAGGTAGGGCAGGAAGAAGAGGCTGAGGTGCAGAGGGAGGCAGGAGGGAGAATCAGGAGCAGCAATGGGTAGTGAAGGGAGGGAGGTTCACACTGTGCCGAAGTCCTGAGTGTGCTCAGAGCCCTTCCCCCGCCCCGAACAATTGCACAGACCTGTGAGGACCCTCCAGCCTCCCCATCCCTTTGAAACCACTGCCTTCTCTGTCTCTCTCTTGCCAGCCAAAGTTCTTGACCAGGTAGGTCGTCTAGCTATTAGCCTGATCTCCTCTCTACTTGTTTCTTCCTGAACCCTGTGTAGTCCGGTCTCTGAGTCAGACTCTGGCCTGAGACTGCTTTCTTTAAGCTCCCTCAAGCCCCCCAACCCATCAAGTCCACGGGCCCTTTGACTCCCTACTGAATTTGCCATAGCAGACCAGGCCACAGGGTGAAAATGGTCCTTGCGGTCAGGTCATCTTGCTACTCGACTCAATTCATTTGAAACACATTCGGGGCGTGGTGTGGGAAAGCATTAACCAGTGGGGTCAGACAGACGGAGGCTCCAGTCCCAGGGACACTACTCACCAGCTGTACAGCCCTGAGCAAATGACTTTCTCTCTCTGAGCTCCCCTTTCATTATAAAATGGGGATAAGAAAAGTAGCTAACAGTAGCTGCTGGGCCCTGTTCTAACTACACATATTAACTCGTTAATCCTCACAACAATCCTGTGAGTGAGGTGTTAGGATGACCCCCACGCGCTCACCAAAAAACTGAGTTGCACAGGATATAGCTGCACTGTCAGTATGAGCCACTAGCCACGTATGGCCACTTACATTTAAGTTAACTAAAATGAAATGATTTAAAACGCAGTTCCTCAGTGCACTAGCCCCATTTCAAGCGCTCAACAGCTACACGTGCTTAATGGCGACCATCCTAGACAGCAAGATACAGAACATTTCCTTCAGTTCCACTGGGTCAGAGTCTTGCCTAAAGTTACACAAGCTAGTAATTGGCTGCTCCAGGCTGGGCCCAGCAGGCATCCTGCTGGAGCCCTGCCCCACACCATCACATTCTTACTCCCAGACCAGCGATTGATCAAATAAGACAAGGTAAGTACAGTGCCAGGAGCACAGCGGGCGCTCTGCGGATGCTTTTTTCCCTTTCCCTCCTGGCGTGGCAGGCTCAACACTTCACTCCCCTGGTTCCCCCACTGACCTTTCTACCATCCTCCTCCTAACTGTCTTCCAAACCTTCCACTCTCTTCTCCTCAAACCCCGGGTGACCACACTTCTCTCACCAGTTCAGCCTCTGACCTGTGCACCTGCCCCTTCGAAGGTGCCTGCAGACTGGCCCATGTCTCAGGGGACCTGTGGATAGGTTTCTCCAGCTTCCCTGGTGTCCCTACTGGAGAGATCCAGCACATGCTTCAGGTGAAACTCACCCCCGAATAAACTCCCATTGCCTCTTCTATCTGACCAGCTCCCTTGCCATCGTCAACACTTTGGGTTCCCCAAAGCTTCACTACCAGGGAGGGGGCTGTGACTTCAGTCCCCACCCAAGTTCTGCTGAGCGAGGTCTCCACACTGCCCTTTTGCCCCCCGTCCTCCCCGCCCCCTTCCTCCTCTGCATCTCCAAGGCACAGCTCTCCTTAGCTCAGCAACTCCCACCTGTTCACGGTGTCAGTCACGAGTCTCTGCCTCTTACCCGCCCCCTCCCCATCCATCCTACACATCACTCTGCTAGAACAATCATTGGCAAACACTCTTTGCAACACACCCCTTTCTTGCTCCAAAACCGAAACCCCTCCCTTGTCCTAGCCTGCCAGCCCCGACCTGAGACAGGCCCAGTGTGACCTGGCATTGCCTCTCTGGAGGGGACCTGAGTGGACACTGTCATGGACACCTAGAACATCACTCAGGCCTTTTCCTCCCTCCCTCAAGTCAAGTCAAAGTCAACAAGAATTATTTAAAGAAATACTGCTGGGAGTCCTTTTGTGAGACAAAGAATCCTTTTGTTATGCAAATGAGCATACCTAATTTCCCTTGTTTTGTACCTTCAGGTTTAAAAATCAGTTTTCCCTTGAACTGAAACATACCTCCTCCCTGTTGCTCCCCCACCCTCCAATACACACACACACTCACACACACACTCTCTCTCTCTCTCTCTCTCTGTCTCTCTCTCTGTCTCTCTCTCTCTCATACCTAGAATTTCAGAATTAAGGAGAACATGTTCTGCCTCTGCTCAGGGCACACTTACTTTGCATATGCCTTTTTTCTAGTCTGTTATTCTTCCCTGCTCCTCCCCCTTGGACCCATTTTCTTCCCTCCTTCAAAACCTACTTCCACATTCCCCTTCTCCAGCAGCGTTTTTCTAATTAACCTCCCTGGCCCCATAAATTCCTGCTTCTGCAGAACCCCAGCCTTAAGTGGCCACAGCTTCCCAGAGCTGTGATGCTTAAAGAGACCAAGGAGACCACCTAATTCAACTGGTTCATTCTACTGATAAGAAAACAGGCCCAGAGAGGCGGCACAACTTGCCTGGGGTCACACAGCAGGTTGGTGGGGAGGACTTAGGCCCCAGACCTCCAACCTAAAATCTGCCCCTCTGTGTACAACACTGACCTACATTTGCCAACATATTTTTTCCATCATATTGTGGGCGGCTTCCAGATTAGGGAGAGGAGAGGAGGACATGAGGCTTTAAAGACATGTAGAATTTTGAATGAAGCCTATGATGAGGGGTGGGGCTGGGGAGGGAAAAGCATTCAGATTCGCTATGCTGTCTGTGCAGTAGTAGGGGGACATGTAGCAACAGGGTGTTCAGAGGGCTGTGGGGAAAGGAGGACTGGGCTTGGAGACATGGACTGATTTGTGTGGAAGAAGGAAGGGGCCACAGCAGAGGGCTCCTTATTCCTGCCCTAGCCTTGTTTTTGCCTTCTCCCCCTACCTCCAACATACCTAGTACCCACCATTGCTGAGGCCCTCCGAGTGGTACTGCTGGCTAAAAGGCTGCCCCCACCACCACCGCCCCAGCATGGGCCCACCCAAGTGGCCAGGGCACCTCCCTGGAGCCCTGACTTCCGTTCTGATCCCCTGCCCTCTCTGGAGCAGGAGCCCCAGGACAGCAAAGGGAGATGGTAGACCTAAGCTACCCCTCTGGCAAGTTATCACAACCCATCCTTCCTTGACTCCAGAGAGGGGCTGAAGTGTTGCCAGAGAACTCACGTTCCATCCTCATTGCTTCTGTAGAATACCAAGAAGGGGTCGGACTTCCCAAAGAAATCTTTCTTGTCCAGCTTGTTGGCACAGAACTGCATTGTGGCGACATCCTGATGGGGGAGGGGAGGAAAACAGAGGTGTGAGGGAGGAGAAGACTGGAGGTCACCCCAATCTCTGTGGAAATGCAGCCCCAGAGCCCTGGCAAACATGAGGATTCCAGGCACCAAGCAGGTTAGAAAGGGCAGCATCTTACACTTGTCCCGCACCGATAAGACCCAGGCCCTGGGCTAACACTTCAGAGGGTCTCATTTCATCAAATGACCCCACCAGCAAGTCTAGTGGAGCAGCCCACAGATAAGTGGATGGATTCTGGAGCAGGCTGCTCCAGTTCGAATCCTGGTTCTGCCACTTTATAGTCGTGTGACCTCAAGCAAGGGACGTAACCTCTCTGAGCCTCAGTTTCCCCTCTATAACATGGGGCTGATTTCAATACACACCTCAGAGGACTGTGAGCTTCAAGTTTGAATGAGATCAAGTATGTGAAGTGCTTAACAGACAGCAGGCACATCACACATTGTGGTCAATGTTAATATACACAATTTCACTACTATTTTACTGAATGGCTTAAAGAAGCGAAATGACTACACCAAGGCCACTCTGAGCTTGGCCTACTAACCCCAAAGCCCTTGCTCAGTCCAATCACCTCACTCCCTCACACATTTGTGTGGTTCCTAGAGGACATGCAAGTTTAAGCATCACTTTCACACCCACCCAACTCTCTGAGGTAGACGTGGCCGGGACTATGACCCACTCTACGTGTGAGGAGCCTGAGGCTCAGAGCAGGAAGCAACTCCCCCAAGTTCACCAAACAGAGCCCTGGGTTTCTGACTCGCTTGATCAGTTCACAGCCCCACCTGACCCAACACACAGTCTAAGAGCGCAAAGAAGGTACTCATGCCCTGGAGGGGACCACTGGACCCCCCACTCACATGGTACCCAGCCCCTATCGCTGTGGCTGATGGGGCACTGGGAAGAAATGCCCCCACGTCCTCCCTCCACCCATCTCCATGTGACCTCTTCAACCTGAAAGTTTTGCAGCCTGACAAATCAGCTGCCAAATGGCCGGAGCTCAGGGCTCTGTCCTATAGTTCCTAGGACCTGGCCAGGGCCCGTGGGGAAGTCACCCTGCTTTCTCACGCTCCCTCTTCCTCTCAGTGAAAAAGTGAGTCTCTTGAAATCAGTGTCCTCTAGTTCGATGAGAACTAAAATGGTGGCAGAGATGAAGATGCAGCCTTCCACAAGTTTGAAGGACGTGGTCAAAGGTTGGGAGAATGGATACAATATAAAGGTTAGGAACATGGTGACTGGAGCCGGGCTGCCTGCTTCAGCGTCATCCCTTACTAGCTGTGTGACACAGGGCAAGTTACTCATCCTCTCTGTGCTCAGTTTCCTCATCTGTAAAATGGGGTACTGGCAGTGCCTACTTCATATTCTTGTGTGAGGATGAAGTGAGTTAATAGGAGTACAGTGCTGAGAGCAGTGTATGACTCACACCAAGTGCCATGTGCATGCAAGCTTTATTATTTGGACACTTCTCTCCTTCCCCCAACACAATGTGTGGCCTTTGTCCCTCCCCCACACCCCTCTTCCACCACCTCACACAGCTTCCCTCATGGACATCTGACAACAGCAAACACAGAGCATCCCTCCATTCGCTCACCCATTCATTCATTTGTTCATTCATTTAACAAACATTTATTAAATACCATCTGTGTGGGCCAATTATTAAGCTCAGTGCTTTTTATCCTTATCATATTTAGCCTTCAAAATAATCCTTTGCCCTTTTTTACAAATGAGGAAACTGGGGATCAGAGAAGCTACGTCATCTGCCCAAGATCACCAGATGGTAACTGGTAGAGCAGAAATCCAACATGTATAAACTGATTTCAAAGTCATGCCTCTCCCAGCATTCCCTCTGCCTCCCTGAGAGAGCACATTGCAGTTCATGAGGACCGCTTCCCTGGTGTCCTCTGGATTCAAGGTGTGTTTGGCAGGAAGGGGCTGGACTCTGGGGACCTGGGACTGAAGTGCCTCCTGAAGGGAGGCACTGCAGCCAGCACACAGAGGTGCCCAGGTAACGACGGCTTTTATCATATCCTCACCATCGCCCACCCACGTGGGAAAAGGAGGCTGGACTGGGGGTTTCCAAGGCCTGGAAGCCTGAGGAATCCTAGAGCCTCCTAAGAAATCTAGGACTTCAGACCGGGAATAAGAGAATGGCTGATTTATTGAGTACTTATTAGATGCTTTGTAAGATATCATGTAAAAGCCTTCCTTTCCATACATTATTTCATTGAATCCTCATAACAACCATATGAAGTGACTCCTCTACTCTCCCCTTTTTACAGATGAGGAAACTGAGGCTTTTAGAGGTTGTCAAATGTCCAGGGTCACACAGTGGGTAACCCAGGTGGTTAGACTTCAGGACTTTTCCTCTCACCCTTCCAGAGAGATCTCTAGCCTTCTAAGTCCATCCCCAGCCAGTCACTGTCTCTCCCCAGGATAAAGTTCCAATCCCATCCATGCTGGGTAGAGGAATCACGTTAAATGCCTCCCTGGGGAGCTCTACCCCAAGGCCTAGAAAAAGGGGTAGGCCTAGGATCTGGTGGGCTTCTCCCAGCACTAGCTCTATAAATTGTGGGGCCCAATAGAGAAAACACAGGATCCTTTGTTCAAAAAGTATTAAGAAATTTCAAGACAGTGACACAGAGCATTAAATCAAGTACAGGCCCTGTGTGACTACTGTACAGGTCACACATCTATAAAGCTGGTTCTCCCCCACAGAAGCACCCAGCAGTGCCATCAGAAAACACTGAGAGAGGACCAGATTCTAGCGAGGACAGCAGTGGGTACAACCCCAGCAGGAAACCCAGGGTTCTGAGTTCTAATTAGTCCCCAGCAGTCCTTCAAGCTCTCTGAGCCTCAGTTTCCTCATCTGTAAAGTGATGTGCTAGATAGGATGTCTACCACTATTCCTGGGAAGTTTACGCTTCAGTGTCAATACCATGGGGAGCATACTGGGAAAGGGGCAGCAGCTGGGGAGGGCTAATAATCAGGGGACAGTCTAGAAATCCAGGGCTCCCTCAGCCTCCCCGGGACACAGCTCAGTGCATCTCTGAGTGTGACCCCACATATCTGGAGGTCTCCTGTGTGGCACCTATACCTGAACCTACATAGATGAGCGGCACATGATAACCTGCACTATAAAATAAATACATATATTTGAAACAACCAAAACAGATGCCACAAAACCCAGGGGCAAAAGCTCTTATTTTTGCTTCTTCGGAGAATCCCTCAGGACCCTGCAAGATCAGGAAGGGGAATAGGAATATCAGAAAAAAATGAATGCTGTCTCACCATAACACCTGACAGAATAGTACAAAGGAGCCAAGGCCACCTGCTTGGAACCCCAGCTCTGCAACCTACCAGCTGAGCAGCCCAGGGCAAGCAGTTTAGCCTGAATCTTGTTATTCTCTGGTAAATGGAGTAATAATGCCCCCATGAGCCTGTTTGGAAGGCTAAAGGAGATGGCATATGTTAAGTAACAGCCCATGGTGCCTAGCATAGAACATCTATAAGAATAAGAGCCAGCACTTGCAGAGTGCCACCTTCTACTGGGCTGAACCACGTGAAATTGGCAATGTTCACCTATGAAAACGGCAATGTAATACAGTTCTACCTATTATGTGCCAGGCACTATTTTTACATTTATTAGTTCATTTAATCCTCTCAAAAACCCCATGAGGTAGGTATAATTATTATTCCTATTTCAAAGACGAGGAAACTAAGGCACAGAGGTTAACACCCTGGCCTGGAGCCACACAGCTAGGAAGAAGAGAAGCTGGGGCTGGAACGAGACAGTCTGACTCCAGAGATTAATAACTGAGATTCCAAATCATGACCTCGAATCATGAAGATAAGTTTAATTATGTTCTAGAGCCTCAGTTTGAGAAGTCAGAGAAGTGTGAAATCCTTTTTAGAAAGGCCTCCTCCGTGCAAACTAGTTAAAATTAAAAAAAAAAAAAAAAAAAAGAAAGAAAGACTGGCTCTGCATCTCAGCTTACTAGAAAAATTCACCAGTGAGCCACACCTCTTTTCTCACTGATGGCAAAGGCATGAGGTATTGTTGAGGGGCTTATTTTGTTGCCCAACCCGATCCGCCCTCCTTAATGCAATCTAGACCTGAGAACATTCACCAAAAGCCCATTATGATAATCCCTATTGTGCTACTGATGAATCCCTGGGGATAAGACAGACCTTGAGAGAGATTTCTGGGCTGTAACCAAGGTGCACTTCCCCCCAATGGGTGTGCACCCCATGGGGAGTCTTTGAGACTAGAAACGTGTAGTTTTCTGGAGACTGTGCTTTTGAAGGTGGCTCTGAATTATGCAACCGTCATATGAACAAGGCTTCAACTGCTCCCCTTAAATGAGGGTCAGTGAATGGACCAACCTTCAATATATGTGTGACCCCAGGAAGAGGCTGAGGAAGTGGCAGTATGATGGCCTGGCCCAGCAGGATTAGAGAGAAGCAAACTCTATTTGAGGATCAGAGGCCCTGCTGTTTGACGGCCTTACCCCGAGGGAGGTGCTCTCTGAACACATGAAATGCTACTCCCAAACCAGAAGCATCTCTGGGATCAACTGCAGAGAAATAAAGCAGCTCCTGCAATATATAATTTCCTGCAATTTCTGCCTTTTCACCCTATCTTTTTAAAAAACATAAAACAGCAGGATTGCCTCAATTTGCATATTTTCGCATGTTAACCAGGCTGCTTGGGAGACCATAGCAAACAGCCTTTCTCTCCAAGATGGTCTGGCTTATACTACCATGTTAGTTCTCCCAGACCCAGAAGTGGGCTGTGGAGGTCAGAGGTCAGGCCCAGAGGTCAGCAGGTGGGCTGAAGACTGGGAGAGGGGAGTGACACCCAGGAGCGGAGAATGCAGGGCTATTCTGCCCAGATCTTGCTGGCAGACTCCAGGGCAAGAACAAGAATAATAACATAAGTGCAAAATTTAAGAAGCGCCAAAAATTTCAGTAATCAAAATAA